CCAAGCCGATTCGTTCCACTATCCTCACTCCTATGCCTTTCTCTCTAACTTGAGGATACAAATGATGCTGCATTGGAGGCTGCCGGTGCTCCACAATTCGGGTCCTATCATCATCAGTACTGGTTGGATGGATGTAAGCTGATTGGCGTTGGTGTGGTGGATTTACTGCCCGGTTGTCTTTCTTCTGTCTACTTCATCAACGATCCAGCTTACGCATGTCTCAATTTGGGTACCTATTCTGCTCTTCGGTTCGTTTAAGTCGACCTCGAAATACTTCATTGGGGAGGGAGTTTGTTTTTCTTTGCGCTATTGCATTAGTTGAGTGGCTTTTGTTGTAGAGAAATTGCCTATGTGCGACAACTCTACCGAACCTACGGAGCGACAGTACCTGCATATGCCAACTTCAAGTATTACACCATGGGGTTTTACATTCACACCATCTCGAAGATGAAATACAAGGGTGATTATTCACCCTCTTTCCTCTCCTGTCCTGAGACGCATGTTTGGGTGCCTGTGGAGGAGTGTAGACAGCTACTCGAGAGGAGTAAGTACACTCGCTTCTCGAAGGAGGGCGAAGAGGATTCGCTACGTACACCTTCTGACGAGGACGTGATGATTCAACTCCCCTTCTCCGAGGCTCTGGCATCCGCATTGCCTGAAGGCGGTTTCACAGTCGAAGACTCTGCAATAGTCACCACACTGGCTGAGGCTAAAGAGGTGTTGTCTGGGACGGATGTGGTTCTTATTCGCCAGTGGGTCGGTTTAGTCAAGAACACTGGAAGCATGCGTATTACCTTTCAAATCTGAAGTCATGTGACTTAAAGTGTTTTGCCAGTGTCTCGATTTATTAGACTACTGATGCTATGCCAAAGAGGTGTTGAAAGATTTGCTATTTCTTGTATAGAGGTATGAAAGTTACAGAAGCAAGGAAAGGAGTGAGATCGGATTATAAGTTGAGAGGAGGAGGTGAGCAAATCGCGTAGATGTCTTTCCTCTTGATTGTTGCTCTACTTCTTCAATCATGAACGGCCATCACAAAGAGCGGATTTATTGGTCCACTGGTGTAGGAGACGGCGAAATGAGCGCTGGTGCTATGACACTAAGAATTACGACTGAGAGTTGAGTGGAGGATGCTGTCTCCGTTCCTGGCAGAGGGTTAGGTTATCACAGTTCTCACAAACTGTGTGAGAGGTGGGTAGAGTGGAGGCGGGTTTGAGCTCAGGAGTGGGAAGAAGGCGGGGAGGGAGGGGGATAGAAAAGTAGGAAAGAAAGGAAAAAGGGGTGTTGATAAAGGGTTCCCTTGGAGCAGACATTAGAGTTTCCGCTTTCCCTGTCTTGGTAGGTGTCAGTGGAGGTGACAATTTGCACTGATTTTGCCTCTCTACATTCACCTCTAGATGAGTCTTTGTTCGTAAGCGTTGCCTATCCGCTAACGTGCTGCCACGATTTGGTCTTGTACGGTCCGTCATGGTGGGCAATAGTAAATCGCAGGGGATCTGGATCGATTCGAAAAAAAATCGTCTTTTAGCTCCACATTCTTATCTGTTACCTGAATTTCCCTTCTAGCAGCTACTACCAGTAGGTATCACGCGTGAGAACTACAAGTAGTCCGGCAGGTCAAATCTTACCACATTAACGGATACGGAGCGTTACGACAGTGTACCTTGTAGCTGTCATGCTGAGTCATGACGAAGGACATCCACAACGTCACAAAGAGCTCCCACAGGGTGGGGATGTCGCTCTCCATGCTATTTCTACTTTGGCAACGCACTCTAGAGTCCAAGCTACGAAGAACTTCGTCCACAAAGGCCTACAACCACCGCCATTTAAGCTGCACGCCAGACACCGGTAGGGACGCACTTAATAAGGCAGTTAATGTTGACGTCGTCCAAAACAAAGATATAGCGCTCTGCACAATTTAGAGCATCACGCAGTCATCTCACGGCAATGCCTAAATATTGACGAATTGAGCCATCAATGCCAATCTTGGCGCAAAGGCAACATGTCACAGCAATTGCAATATCGTTGTATGCGACTCCTCATTGAATTGCAAATCATTAGTCCGGTCGAGAGAGAAGCCGTCAAACGCATCCGCAAGGATGACCCGCTCAACTACTTCATATAGCTAATCCTGTTTGAGAATGCAGCAAAGTTGTTTTGCTTTTGAACTACGCTATAGCCCC